GTAACTGAAAGATCTCTAGCATTTAATTCATCTGTATCTGAAATCCACCTTCAAGAGAGTTTAATTTCTTCCCTAGGGCAAAGTAGAATTTGAGAAAAAAAAAAAAGAAAGTAGAGAGTGGCCCACAGGGAGGGAGAGGACGTACTATCCTGTCTCTTCTTCTATTTTCTCTGAAAAGAAATAAACTCTGGTTAAGAAGAGTGAACTATAAACCTAAGCTAAAAGCCCACTTGAAGACACAAAACTAAAGATATGTTATAGGTTTGTCATTTCATGATTTCTGTTTTGAATTAATAAACAACATGAATGCACTATTCACGTTCTAGAATGAAGGCTTTCTGATAGATTTTAAAAGTACAAATTCCATATGTGTATATATATATATATATATATACACACACAGAAAAACATACATACACATATCCAGAGGGGGCAGTAAAAATCTCAACAGAGTAACTTAAGCCCTTCTCACGGGTAAAACTGAGATGATGACCAAGCTCCCTGGGCCCTGTGATGGGTTATCCAAACCCACAAACCTACCAAAACCGCTCTGCTCACTTTCTCCTGCAGTCTTAACAACATGCAGGGGCCAGTAAGGCAGGGCTACAAGACCGTATTTTCAAGTCAGACACAAGACTTTAGGCTCCTCAAAGCTAAAAGTTCTCTACCTGTAATTTTAAAAATTTAAAGTTCTGCCTACAGAGTTTCTTACAGAATGCACTTAAAATGGGCAAACTCTACAGTTTCAAGACAGGATAATATTGAGTCAATATCTGTCTGTTGCTTTGCCTTTCTCACTTGGTTCTCATAAGAAGCTTAATCATTAAAACTATTTTACAGGCCAATCTGACAGTCTGACCTGCCCCAAATCACACAACTGGTAAATGGTGGTGCCAGGATTTGAACTCAGCTGTCTGGCTCCCAGTGCTTTTCAACTGTATTGTTGTATCCCCATCACACATCTTACCTGATAGTTGCCGGATCTCAAACAAATATGGACTTGACTATATGGAGTCAATTGCTGAGATGTGCTATCAGAAGAAGGTACAAGAACATCACATGCTTGACAATAGCCAGCTAACCGCTTCTCATCTATGGTACAATGAAGAGATAATGAACCTATCTGTAAAGTAAGAGGTATAGATCATTATCCATCAGTGTAACAGAAACAACAGTCCAGCACCCACTTAGTGCATTTTAACAGTACAAGAAAATGCCAATGGAAAACTCAGGGCTAGAGGAACCGTAAAAAATGAAAAGGTTTTAAGTTTAGAGCAAGAATCAGCAAACTATGGCTCACAGGCCAAATCTAGCCTCTGGCCTGTTCTCATAGAGCCCTTGACCTAAGAACAAGTCTTATGGTTGTAAAGGCAAAAATAACCAAAAAATGAGAACATGCCACAGAAACTACAGATGGCCCACAAAGCCTTAAATACCTATTTATCCCTTCACAAAAAAAGTTTGCTGACTCCTGGTTTAGAGTTTTCAGTCCAACGTAAAAAGGTGGACATTATTATCACCCTATGTAGGTATTATAGTTCAGATATTAACAGAGTGAACACTGTTAAAAACAAGCTTTAAATTCTAAAAATACATATACTTGGCAGAGATTTAAAGGAGAACATCAAAGAAAACTCAATCTTCACTCAACTGGAAAAAACATAAATGCTTCTACCAAAACAGAAAAAAATTTTTAAAGACACACTTTTTAAAAAAATTTAAAGTTTTAAATTGCTATACTTGAAATGCCATAAAATTAGAAATCTGATGAGTTTCCCAGGCAACGTAAAATGAGGATTCCCAACAGCTCTAGCACAGATTTAAACCAAACCTCTCACACATTTCATCAACGTTTCCGGTGAAGAAAGGAAAGATTGAAGCGGCAATTTTCCCAGGTACCAGGCACACAAAGACCTAGTTATATACTTTAAAATTCATTTGTCTGAATCATAAAAAGAAAAATGCAAATAACAAACACAAGAAAAAGTTTACCCTACCAGGAATTAAAGAAATTCATTTTTTAAAAGGTACTACATTTCACACATCAAATTAACAATTAAAAAAAAATTCACCCCTAATTGGAGTACCCTTGAAGAAATGTTCCTAAAAAGCAATTTGGTTTTATATATTACAGCCTTTAAAAAAATTAGTGACTGCTGACATGGTAATTCTACTTGCAGGAATCTAACTTGAAAGTATCTAAAGTCTGAACAAAAATTTATGCGTGCAGATAGAAATTTTGCCGTTTTATAATAAATAAAAACAGTAAACAACCTAAATGCCCAAACATTAGGAAAATGAAGTAAATTACAGGATACCTATATAATAGAACAGAACTCATTTAAAATGTCTATTCAAATATTTAAGCAAGATACAAAATAGTATTCACAGCATGAGCTTAACTGTATAAAAATAAAGAATAAAAACTGGAAGAAAATAAGCTAAAATAGCAAGAGGGTATTTCTAGGCAGTAGTATTACAGATTTTTAACGTTTTCACTACTTTTTTGAATGACCAAATTTACTACAATGAACTTTTTTTATCATTAGAAAAATTAATATATACAGATGTTTTAAAGGCCTGAAAATTATGTGACTGTTGTAACTATATTTACCTCTGCAATTAGTTCTTTGGTTCTAAAAAATTTTTCTCTGGCATTTTCATAGACAGCAGAATTTGTAGAGCCTTGCTGGAAGTATGCTGCACCCAAATCGTAACACACCTAAAATGGTAATGAATACCAAACTGCTTACAATTTTTTCATGAACTTTTAAGAGCTGACAAAAATCAAAATCACCTTTATCTCCACAAAACAGGTACATATACAGCAAAAAACTGTTTCAATAAGCAGCGAAACAATCAATGTTCTTAGTCACAAGCAACAGAAATCAAGTCTGACTTACCTAAGCAGAAAACGAGTAAGGTTTCAGGTGCTTAAAGAATTAATGGGAAAGTCAAAGACTCAGGCTTGGAAAACAGAGGGGGAAGGAAGGCAAGCAGCCAGCAGA